TGACCTGCCTGCTCCTCGTGCCCTCCTTGGATTACCGCCTTGCTCCCGACCACGTCTTTGGATTTCCCCTATTGGAGTTACTGCCTCTCTGACCTCCTGGCCACGACCCTGCTCAGTCCTCGACCACGTCTCCGGATTCCCCTGTCGGATAGTCAGCCTCTCAGATCTCCTGGTGACGACCGCCTGTCTTCTGACCTAGCCTCTGCCTCTCCCGTCATCGCCCCTTTTCCCTCTTTAATAAACATTCTTAAACGTGTCATTCTGTGTTGGGTGTTTTTACGGGTCCGCCAGTTTGAGTACATTACAAGCTCTCCCCATTTTCTCCTGTTAAATCCACAGCCTGTGCGCAAAGCATGCTGGGATAGCCTTGTTCTGTGAGGATACAACAGACCCATCCTCGAAATGTGGGCGGAGCGAGGACATGTTTGAGGACGCGAGAATGAGTATTCTTGGAATTCGGACAGTACTCGTCGCTGCGCTGTGACGTCATCGACCTCAAAATGCACTCTTACAAGCATCCTTCCCGTGGATTCAGACACACCCAGAGTCATACTGACTTGAGCGTGTAGCTAAACTGAAGTTAAATCATCTCGGTCTGGAAGTTAGTTGGTTGATGTGCTTTCTCTTTCAGGAACAAACTGATTACTGAGCTCAGATGTTGGCAAATAGCTGAATAAACTCGGCGCTGAGGAAGAGGAGTGTTTTCAGTTTGTCTGAGATTGAGGAGGTTAACGCTGCAGATGCCAAGTAGTAGCGTGGATGCTAATGAATGTAAACAGAGAGGAGGGACTGCAAAGCACTGTGGGATTTGTAGTCTTTGCGGCAAAATCGGCTGGAGGGACACTTTTAATAAATATTTGATATTTGATCTCACGGGCCAAATAAAATTAGACCGTGAGCCAAAATGGGCCAAGGGCCTGAGTTTGCCACCTGTGATCCATGAAAATAAAAAGCTATTTCTCCAAACTGAGGCTACCTAAGAAGCTTAGAAAACGGCTGGTTTTGATAGTTACACACACACACACACACACACACACTAAAAATTGCACCATTTTCAATTTAAAATCCAACAAAACCCATTTAGTTTTTAGCTAACTCCATACCAGCTTTAGCTTAACACACCGATTTGAATGATAATGAATTGGTTTACAAAGAAATACAAAAAGGCCTTCAAAGGCAATGTCCAAGGAGAGCACGAAGGAACCCTCCTGACATCTTTAACACGTTTGTTAATCTGTGATGTCCATCGGCACAGAATGTTGATGTCAAACAAACGGGCATCCTCACTTTAGGAGTGTCTTCCTCCAAACGCTTTGTGTTCAAAACAAATTGTGAAAAGAACTGCTGACAGGTTGTGTTCTGAGAGACTGAATCTTGTACCGTGTCATCCCTGGAGGCCAAAACATTAGGACATCTCTAGAATGCAATATTGTAGCCCCGGGGTATGGAACACGTGAGAGGTTTTATGTGCAAGTTTAAGGACTTATCTTCTCTTTTACCTGTGCTCTGCTTTTGTCTGCAGGGGGATGCAGCTAGATCATCATCAGGACCAATGCATCCTGGAGTTTTGTCTTAGATTTCAGATTTCAGATTAATTGGCCCAGTAAAATTACATTTACAAGGAATTTGGCTTTGGTTGATGTTTGCTCTCTAAAACATACAACAACCACAATAAATGAGAATAAATATACCTAAAAACATATAAGAACATGTACACCCACACACATGTTCATTTACACACACACATATACAGTACAGCTGCACAAAGATCTTTTATTGTTTAAGTCTCAATAAAGCAGAAGAAGAAAGGGTAAAATTGTATATGATACATTACCTGTTCAGTACATGCAGCCTTTTAAAATATGAGTAAATGGGATCAGTCAAGTGGAGCAGGACTTACATGGTTTTTTGTGCTTTTGCAACTTGGCGTCGATTTCCGACTTACAGAAGAGGAATGCGGCTCATTGCTCATGTGGGACTGACATTACTGCTGCACAGAGGCAGGGTGGAAGAGAATAGAATGAATAAAGGAAGTGATATGAAGCGTTTAAAGAGGGGTTAGTATTTCCTTTCCCCTTCACTGACTTAATTATTCAGGCTATGTGGCTGCTTAATCAGGCTGAAGTCCTCTGAGTGGCGACTCTGTGACAGCGAGTGGAGATCTTAATTTGACCTGAGAGTCAAAAGTGAGCCGTGTCTATGAACACATTAATTCACAAAGGGGAACGAGATGTCAAGCATCACTGAGATGATGGATTCCATCAATTAGAAACTAATTTCAAACGTCCTGCAAACCTTAACGATGCCGTTTCATACTTCATTGTTGGTTCTTTTTAAAACACATTAGCGGTTTCGTTTTTACCTTGCTGCTGACAGTTTCGTTCGCGGCTGCGAACTTCCTCAGAGCTGACGATGATGTTGTTTCATAGCTGAGGATGAGTTCAGAGAGTGTATCACAAACCTTGTCAACATGAAAACATGGAGGTGTTTCTGAGCTCAAAAAGGTAGCGGACATTATGACAACGTTCTGAACTGGAAATTTCCATCAGATCCTGCCGCACTAGGCATTTAACAGTTTACCTGCAGGCCTGAAAGTTGCAGTCCCCACCTTCTGCTGGAATTCACATCAACACTGAATGCACGGACCTTCAAGGTCATCACAGCCTGTTTTATTCCTTCATGCCTAAAAGCAGCTGATAAAAAAAGTCAGCTAAGAGCAAATGAACCTGCAAGAAATGATTTGTAGCTTTGGCCGGCGTTATGATAGGAGCTAAATACTTTACAAGCACTCTGCACAGCTCCTGGATTGCAGTGCTTGGCATTTAGAGTGCTGCCATTTTTACTCTAGCAAAGATGGAGATGGAATATGAATGTTCAGAGGTAGGATGGCCCAGCAAAATGGTACACCCCCTCTGTCTCACAAGAACATATTCGTACATCATCACTGTCTTTGAGATGGCTGTTGAGTTCACTCTATTGTACACACAATTGAATGTGCTGTTGTTGTGAATGATTAAAATGTAGGTTTAGGCTAAGAACTTAAGAGAAAATAATACACTTAGTAAACTAACCCATTGATAATCAATGGCACCTGCAAATAGGACAACATGAAAAAATACAGTTTAAATGATTGAAGTACAAGTGAAGTTGAAGGACTTGAGCCTGAAAGATGAAAACAGGGTTTGAGCATTATAAATTATTCACATATTTTTTATCATAAAATTAATTGAATAATAAATATTAGGAATATTATTCACTGCTTATTAAAGACGGAATGAAATTTCCCCTAAAAGCTTCACCCTAGTTTCATTACTTGCTTTGTTAGTTCCTCTTTTAAAATGTAGCTCGGCAGCAAGGCTCTAGCGAGTTGGGCCTACCAGCCTCGTTGATCTCAGCCAGGCCCAGGGATTTGGGGAAAGCCCTAACCCTAACTTCTTATTTTTTCCTTTCTGGTATTTTTTTGGCCTAAATTGAAGAATAATTCCAGGCCACTTGGTCTTCTGCAAATGTTTACTTGATAGGCTTCAGTTTCAGCGTTTTCATTGACCTGCTCAGGTCAACAGACAACATCAGTCTATAATCTCATAAAGATTGATTGAATAGGGTTAGGGTTAGGGACAACTGAGGTTGTCAAGTAAAGCCCATATCATCAGAAGAACATCTTTACCATCAGAAAAGGAAACACTGTCCTGATCTAGAGATATTAGATTCAGCACAAATCCTCTACTAAAATGTATTTTAGAAAAAAATAATTATAAAAGAGGTCCCAAAACAACAAGATCCTTTCCTAAACCACGTGAGGCACGGCTCCTAATAAAAGTTTTAGTTTGGTCAATAAAAAGTTGCAAAGGATCATGAGGTCAGAGCAGATGACCCGAAGGCCTGATTCTGTTACAGAAACTGGAGCTGCTAATTTATGCTCAGAAAACTTCTGATCTATTCTATCAAACATGTTCCTACATTTATTCATAACAAAAAGATGTTAAACCATTCAATTTCAGTTGGTTTTTATTTCACTGGTAATGGCCTGAGTGAAACCAACCAACCAACCCAATAGTTAGCATATGCAATCAGGTGGCTATTCATTGGCCCTTTGTTTAAAATAAAAGGAGTAAAACAAAGCAGTTTGTGTAAAGATGGAGTTGATTCAACATGGAAATAAATAAATATAGAAAAAATAACTATCCTGAAAACCAAATGATCACCATTCTTCACCAGAGTAAACTAATAATAAAATAAGAATAATATTAATTTAAAAAACAATACAAGAAAAATTAGACCTGTCAAATCTTTGTCAACATAATTAAATCAAATTAATATGCTGCACTCACTGCTAGAACAAACATTACACAGCACATCTCGCTTTTTATAGGATTCATTTTGAAAAGCAAATCCCCTAACAATTTACAACTTTAAATCCCCTCATGATCCAAACGTCTGCAGGCCATTCATTGACTTGGTTTCTGAAAAAAAAAACCTAAGCGCTGCTTCTTTTTCATCTTTACAGCATCTGTTGTCCCATCTTAAACCCAAGGAGGATAAGGTTCATTACTTAGATAAATAGAATGCTACTTTTGAAACAAAGATTTGGTAAATTAATGAATAAATAAGAAATGCGTTAAAATGCATTAAGAGATTCGACTCATGTTCTCTTTGACAAAAGTTGCACCTTTTGTCCATTTGTGGGTCAAATAATCCATAGCCTAAAATAGCCAGGAACCGAATTAGCCTTCTCCAGAACATGCCATTGAGAGTCAAAGGCAGAGTGTGCGTGCATAAGAACTGACAGTTCCAGTCCATTTGACATTGAGACACAGCCCACTAATGTCATGTATGGATACAGCACATTCCAGCCTTGCATTGACATTGTCAACACAAGCTTGTCTTCCGTCTCTTAGAGCAAGTGCAGCCGCATCAAAACTCTCAATCAAACAAGAAACAACCAACTCGGTTCATAGTCGACTGACAGAGGTCAGTTTGGTCCTTGGGTGCCAGGTGTTTGTGGACACAACAAAAATTATTTTTGAGCCAAAAAAGGGCATGAAAGAAGGCGGAGGGTTGCCTGATGCATCTGTGGGCGTGAACATCACCTGGAAGACTGAAGAACATCAACAGACAGAAAGTATAAATACACTCAAATACCAGTCACCAGACAGAAGAGGACACACCTCTACTTCATCTGATCATTTTCCAGCTGAGAAGACAGCTGCCCGTCCACCTTTGGAGATTTCGCAAACATTTCTGTTTGGTGAGTTCAGACTTTAAAATAAAAATTTCACTTTTTAAATCATTCAGTTTCACAATTTATGTAATCTAAACATTTGTTTATCTGATTTGGCTTCTGCTGTACTTATTTGTAAAATGACAGGAAAAATGAAACCACCCAAAAAATATAAAAGTAAAAATTTATAACTGTTAAAACTTCACAGCACTGTAGGCACCATTGTAAACATTCTGGGATCACAATGACCCAGAGATTATGGATTACAGTTTTGAGATTTCAACCGAAACACATTGAAAAATGTCATGTGACTCAATAAAGGAATGCGCAGAAAGAAAATACAGAAACAAGTGTCTGGTATAGTTGCTGATTTACTTTGATTATTCAATGAAACGAGGGCACTGAGCATAATTTATACTGAGATTACTTACAATCTAAGATATCAGTGCATCACCTTACAACCGTCTCATCTGATGCTCCTTCCTTTGTAAATGTAATTTTCCAGTGAAAAGCAATAATTTAAAGTCACTTACCATGCATGTTTAAAATCCCTAAGTACCTGAAATTATTTGACTGCAGACCTTGTTACTGCATGAGTTCCTGCTGACCTAATGAATAGGTGTGGGATGACTAGTTCCAGCACTTAGGGGATTAAGGTGTGCAAATAATTTTGCTGTGCGACTATCTGATTTTGTTTAGCAAAATTACAAGTTGTGTATTTGAGGTTTGCCAACAAGGAGAAAAAGATTAAACTCCCTGCACCGATCATTTTTAGGACTTCTCATTGGCGTTTACGCATAACATAATCTGAATGGGAGTTTGCTTGCCTTTGCAAGAACAGGGCTTCTACTTAAACCTGTGCCACCAGTACTGCTAGTCACCATCTATTAAGCAGCACATCTTTGACAAGTACAAGCTGTATTAAAGCTGGGGACTGTTATCTCTGTGCAACGCCAGAGCATGAACAAATAATTATTTTGTCTTCATTATATCAAGACCTCCAAATAGTTTTTCTGTGAGGTCATATACGCAAAACATTTAAGTCAAAGTGCTTTAAGTGCTGCAGTGCGACACATTGTGGATTAGGGTAAACTTTAAATGGAGCAGCGATGCATGAACCCTTAGACTCTGTGCATTAACAGAATACAGCAAACGTTTATCGTGCATTTGAGTTAATAAAAAGTTGGAATTTTATTGTTCTTGCTTATACAGCACTGGAGTGGCAAAATTTCCATCATGTCCTTACATCTTATGTTATTATCTTACAGACTGTTGACTTGTGGAAAATGATGAGCTCCTTAAATCAACGAATCAGAGACTACATGGTTGACAGAAGGAGACAGAAGACCAGACTAGTCACCAAAGATGGCCGCTGTAATATTGAGTATGGAAACATCAAGTACAGCACACACTTTGCCTTCCTGGCTGACTTCTGGACCACCTTTGTAGAGATCCGATGGCGTTATGTCCTCTTCTTCTTCAGTGCATCTTTCAGTCTAAGCTGGTTTCTCTTTAGCCTGGTGTGGTATGCGATTGCCCGCAATAATGGAGATCTAACATGGCAAAACCCCTCAGCAGATCACATCCCGTGTATCGTCAATGTTTATGGACTCACCTCAGCATTCCTTTACTCACTTGAAACCCAGACAACAATTGGGTATGGTGCAAGATGGATCACGCCTAAATGTCCAGGTGGTGTGGCCCTCATTGTCATCCAGTCCATCGTTGGTGCACTTATCAACTCTTTCATGTGTGGAGTCATCCTGTCCAAGATCTCCTTACCTAAGAAGAGAGCTAAAACCATCACTTTCACTGAGATGGCTGTCATCTCCCCCAAAAATGGTTCTCTTTGCCTGTCAATCCGAGTGGCAAATCTGCGGAAAACCCTGATGATTGGGAGCCAGATTTATGGCAAATTATTGAGAACAACGACCACCCAAGATGGTGAGACGATCATCATGGATCAGGTAAACATCGACTTTATTGTAGACGCTGGGAAGGATAACCTCTTCTTCGTCTGCCCTCTCACATTGTACCATGTCATCAACAAGAGCAGCCCCTTCTTTGAGATGGCAGTAGACACTCTACAAAACCAAGACTTTGAGCTGGTGGTCTTCCTAGATGGCACAGCAGAGTCCACAAGCTCCTCCTGCCAAGTGCGAACCTCCTTCATTCCTCGTGAGATAATGTGGGGCTACAACTTCTTGCCTATCATCTCCAAGAGTAAAGAGGGCAAGTATAGAGTAGATTTCTCCAACTTCTCCAAGGTAGTGCCAGTGGCGACTGCACACTGTGCTTACTGTTACCACAACATCAAAGGTCACCATCTTCATTCCAGAAATGGCCAAGACAATCCAGGCTTTGAGGTGATTGAAATTGACAGCCCGCTTGACATCACCAAGATGTGAGGCTCTTACAGTCCACAAACTGACACTGTTGGTGGAACGAGCTTCTCATAAATTGACTCCTCCATAGCAGCCCTGAAGGGTTAGCCCTCTGTGGAATTCGCAATGTCATGATTTCACACATGAAGCAATATTCCAACTCAACTGATACTCTTTCAGACTGAACAAGGATAAGAAAGACTTATGTGGGACCAGGGGCGTTGAATGTATTTGTATGTTAAACCACACCTGCCATTGTCTACGGACATTAAAAGCTGTTCTCAGAATAATGGCCAGGTCACATTAGGATAAAGTTACAAGAACAGAAAGTTTTCTATGTCATGTGCCAAGAGATTAAAAATGGTGCTAATTGTTTTGTTAGTTATCTGGTCAATATTTTGTGAAGATACATTTTTAGAAACTTTGACTTGAACAACCATGCTGAACTAAGCAGGTACTTCCGCACTGGCTGACTACCGGACTTTTAGGCCAGTTTTTTTTATAAATGTGAGTTGTGTAGTTGTGGTTTTCTTCTTGAATTGTGGTATTTGAGAAAATGGTGCTCTCAAACATGTGTATTTTGGCTGCATGCAGCACTGACTTTATTATGAACAAGATTTGTAATTTTTTTAAGTGATATAAGGGATAAGAAGAAATAAAAGCTTTTTTGCCCTCAATAATATCTGTCGAGTTATTTTTCACGTCGGGTGACATAATGGCTCTGTGATTAAAAAAGGTCAAAGCAACAGAAGGACAGGTACCTCATACTGGCTTTAGGTGTACACACAACAATGTTGTGACAACGAAATGGAATCGAAACCTAACAGAAGAGAAGACAGATGAAAGCTGTCAACCATACTGTCCATCATTTAGATGGCATGCTTGAACAGGAAGCTTGGACTATCTGTTTGGAGTAAAACAAGAAAATAATGGATTCTTCTATGAAGATCTTACAGGTAGCACAAAGAAAAACAATCACCTCAAAAATTAATGTCCACACTTGGTCCTTGGGATCTATTATCATTCATGTTTCCCTGTTATCAAATACCTTATTTGATATTTAGCACACATTCAAGCTATGCAGCACTCTACTAATTACCCAGTGATTAAAATCATGTTTGCTGGAACAGAAAAACTTTTAAAATTTCCAGGATTGTTGTCCCCAAGGATCTGGGTTTGACATTTCTGGCCTAGAAGCTCTCTCAACTACATAAGGTTTCAGTATGAGGTTGAGTCTGCAGCCAACAGTGTCTAATAAAGATTGCTGAAGCATAATGTAAGCCAGTGAGCCATTCTGCCTGACTTAAATAACGGCCCAAATAACAAGGGATGGCTTTTAAATTTGATGGCAATTTGATGACCCTGGAGGCCTATGAACAACCAACACTAAGATCTTAGGTGTGCCTTTCAACTCAAAGCAAAGATACTCAAAAGAGTCAAAATCACCACACACACAAGCTGTTTACATAAAAATTTGTCTTTACAAATAGCAGCTACACCACCACCTCTCCTGCCAGATCGAACTACGTTTATTGATGTGACATTTGGTGGTGTGGATACTATGAGAACTGGTGCACTGTTTTTAGCGTTTAACCAAGTTTCAGAAGAAAGCATAAAATCAAAATTATAAGCAGAGTTAAAATAATTTACTACAGAGCAAACTGAGCAAGTGGTAGAGTTGTGTTGCTGTTAGTCAATCAGAGGTTATCGGTAAATGACACCAACACTCCCAAGACTCTGATAAGAGGGGAACTGGAAAAGGCTGCAGGAAGCAAAGAAACACTTTGGTGAAATATGGGAAAGTGTGGGTTTCTCCACCCTAGCTGCGACAGTTCTCTCTTGTTGTGTTTTTGTGTAGCACATTTGGTACCACATCAGATCTGGATGCGAAAAAAGGGCAGCGACAATGTACCTGTTACTAGTGTAAAGGCCTTAGAACCATTCAGAACTGAGCTGAACCAGGCTGAGTAGGTGCTAATAGAAAAGGAACAGAAATGGATAGGAAATTGAGTGAATTAATGACCAACTAGTTGTGTGTCATCAATACATAAAATAAAGATACTGATTTCCAACTATCACTTGTTTCTTTTTCTCTTCGCAATTGCATTAAAATGACAATACACATTATAAAATATATTATATAGACAAGTATATGATTATTGTAATGTGTAATATTATTTAATCAGCAGTGCTATTATTCTTTTCATGTCTGTTTTGAAATAGAAACAAATCATCGTGAATTTCTTTTTTAATGCAATGATCATGTTGCATTTTTGCTTAAAGTTATCATACAAGCACATGTCCAAGCTAATCTTTCACCTTGTAATGTTTCAACAAAAATACAGGGCTGGGAATTTGAGGTCAAAACTGGTGTTTTTATATTGAGTTGCTGCAGAACAGTCACACGTTAGTTAGCATGTCATTTATTGTCATCTTAACATTGTTTTCACATTTCAATCAGTAAAAATAACTGGTCACAAGACTTGCTTTTGTAGGTCAGAGGTAAACATTTAGTAAAACAATAAACAGACAAGTGAATCGAAATATTATTGGGTGTAACACAAACCTTAAGCTTGTTGGTCTCAGGATTAGATACTGCAGATTCTAAGTGAAGCATGTAAAAAATATTAGACCCTTGTGACAGATGGCTCTGCTGCGGATGTGTTGTGTCAAAGTTATTTATTAAATGAAAAAAATCAAACTTTCTGATAAGACATACCGTAAATCCTCGAATACAGGCCCGGGCCTGTATTTGACTCAAGCTCATCAAGCTCCAGGCCTTTATTGGAAGGAGGGCCAGTATTAGAGCCAGGCCTCTATTTCTATTTGAGCAAAATGAACTAATGGTTCGCTGGAGTTTTTGACAATTAAAATTGCGCCCACATTTTCAAAGTTAAACACATTTCTTTTAACAACTGTAGTTCCTGCTTCAGCCCTCTCCCCCCTCCCCCTGCGCAGCGGCCGCAAACTCACTGATGCGCCTGCAGCCTCTCAGAGTTCCTGCTGCTCTAAACATTAAAATAATTATTTCATTTTCTTTTCCTCACTTCTGATTACCTTCAATGGTGTCTGTTTGTTGCAACCACCAGGTACAAAAACTAACTTGTTTTAATTTGTCTATTTTTCTGTCCTGCCTGTTTATTATCTTCCTGCATCTCCTCTCAATCCTAAAGAAAAACTGCTACCTGGGTTCATACATATTCACCTTATGAGTTACCTTTGAATTGCAGTTCTAAAAGATCTACCGACCGCAAAAACAGCGGAGTGCTCGCTGCTTGCCGGCCGCATCAGTGATCGGTGCGTCACCGGATGACAAGGTGATGCGTCCCGCTCCACAGCGAAACGCATCAGGCGCAAATAAAAGACAGAAAACATCAAAGGAAATGAACCGACATGAACGATCACATGTTAAATAATTTTTTGAGGTGGCGACACCTGATTTTTACTGTGGCCGTGCTCAGGAGGCAGATGTACTGACCGCAAAAACAGCGGATTGCTCCCTGCTTGGCGGCCGCATCGGTGAGTGGGAGGACAAGGTGATGTGTCCCGCTCCACAGCAGCGAAACACATCAGGCGCAAATAAAAGACAGAAAACCTTAAAGGAAATTAAACGACATGAACGATCGCGTGTCAGTACCGACGCTCTGGCATAGCGCCCCCCCCCCCCCCCCCCCCCCCCCCCCCCCCCAGCGCAGGAGCTTGTCACCTGCTGACAGCAGGCTGCTGTCTTTTCCGAGGGCTGCCTCTTGCCGATCATTGTCACGTGACAGCGACTAGTCGACGACAGGCATAAAAAGTCACTATAGTGAAGGCGACGAGTTCATACGACCCCTGCTACTGCTCCCCAGAGTGTTCTGCAGCATAATCAGCACGTTCTCTTTGAACTTGATATCAAATGTTCGCCTCCTCATCGTCTCCGCACGGTTAAAGTTACCCTCGTGGTCTTTCACTGGCAAATCAAAAGTGAGACGATGACACAACCGCCCCCCGTACTTGCTTGTTACCACATTCCACCCGGCCACAATAAGAGACCGACCATTATTCACCTCCGCCGACTCCGACACCGGCCAAAATTGGAGACCCGGCCTTTAATTGAATACCGGCCTGTATTAGAGGATTTACGACAAACCTATTATTAGCAATTGCTTAAAGAACTCAAGTTGAAAAGAAACTAACTTAGCAAAGAGTTATAAACGAAAGTTATTTTTAAAATAAAATATTCAAGCATTCATCTGTGTTCTTGCAAATGTTTGCAGGCAGGCAGCAACACGTAACTGAAGAGGTAAAAACATTTATTTTGTCACATTTTCCTTTACAAAAGCCATTTTCCAAAATGTTTTACTTCATACAATGCAGGAAATAAAATAATGATAATAATAATAATAATACACTGCTTAATTGGTTATACACAAATATAACACATTTGATATCCAAAATACATTGCCTATATGAAGTAGCACAGATCCCTTTTCATTGATAATGCTTTTGAAACATGAATGTTGTGGGTACATTGGAATAACTCTAAATGTCACAATTGACATGTCCCCTTTAATTTGTTCTTTTTAAGCAATACATTTGCAACCTAAGCTGGATGTAAATATTAATACTGCATTACTGAATATAAAATTCCTGAACATTTTTAAAGCACTGGGCTGACTCTGAGTTTTAGCCGTGAAAAGTGTGTGACAGCTGGACAGATTCATCCTCATCACGTGTTCCATACGATTTAAAGAAATCAGGCATTTGTGGCTTTGGGAATACAAAAACATACAGATATATATTTTACACTTAAAGGCACATAGAATTTTACAACTGGTTTAAAAAAACAGCAATGAGAAAACAAAAATGTTAAAGTGTATTGCCCAAATGTACAGATATAAAAACACTTCAAATGCTTAACAAACTACTCATCAGAAATGGACTTATACGTTTTGCATTTTTGACCGAGGTCAACTCGTATTAATTCTCTTGACTTTCTTATATTGTGTCACATATGAAAATAACTCTGCATAATTTATACAGTAAGTTGCTCTAATGCTTAGTTGACTGTTGTTTATAAAATAATAAAACATAGGTCTGACAAACGCACAGCGTTTGCGAATCTGAGGATTTCTTTGTTTCATGTCATACTTCATTGGTTTTGTTCTTTATAAAAACTACTCAACTGCAAGCAGTTTATTTTCAAGTGTCCATTTTCCATAGAAATACTTTGGCTATCAACAGCTGTGAACACCTGTAGATGGGTATTTTGATATACTGCTATGACTTGATTACAAATATTTTCATTTGCACTTTACTGGGCATTGAGATCAGTGGTGAATACGATTCAAAGAAACATGTTGCCCATGATCCAGCCCTAGTGAAAATATAACACGATTGTCTACAAACATGACTTTATACTAAGTCACTTATGTGTAATGACTTGTTTGGTCCTGACTGGCCTAAAACTAGAGCACAGCATGGCAGCTAAAACCCAAATTTGTGTTCCTTGAAAGAGAATGAAGAATGAGTATGGTGTCATCCATAATCGAGGGAGAAGATATGAAACAAATCAGCAGGTAAATCCTTGCACTAACTCAATAAGTGTTAGGGCTTTGATTTTGAGTAGCTAGCAAAACTAGGTGAACATTAATGGTCTTTGGGTAGCTAAGCACCATATGGGGAAACAATGGTAGACAATAACACAATCACATACTCGAGAGAATTTTTTGTGTTTTAGATGGTGGAATTTAGGTGAACACGAGTTGTTTTTACAAAAAAAACTCTTCCGACATATTTCGGAAAAAGACAATTTGTTACATTTCTTTTCACAAATTATAAGACATTCACATTAATACTGATATGGTTTGAGCAATGAAAGATCTGGAAATGACATGGCTGAGAGACAAAAACACATCAAACACCTAACAACTCCATGTGTGGTCCACTGAAAACCTTAGACCTGGGTGGAATTACTCCTGCAACTTGTGGCAATTATTCCTTGACATGGCTGTAACAACTGCACACGTCACCCGTCGACTCCTTTGGATCCATGCAAAATACGCTGAACACACTTCCAAGCAACTGAGTTGATACAGGTCAGCAAAACTTACAGCGCTTCATTCTACGGCGTCTTACACTTCTGCAGCCCTTCCAGTTTGGAGGATAAATTAAATGGCATCTCAAGCGGCAAATTCCAGTCGCCATTTTTTTTTTCAGTGCTAAGAAAAGTCCATTTCACAAAACGTCTTCCTTGTCCAACAAAATTCAGAGGACTCTCCACACAAATATAAAAAAGATGCAGACAAGTAGACAGAGACAGTGGAAGAAACCCCAACAACGTGGTGGACAAGCGACAAAGCCAGACGCGTTCAAGCATAATGTACTGAGGAAGATGTAGATTGAGACCCATGATTAATAGGTCCATGTCTGGTACTGTAGCATGGCCAGAAGGCAAGCAGACTCAGGTTCTCTTTAAGCTTTGGTATAGAAGGGATGCTTACTAGCTTTGTGGAGCTTGGCAGAGAAAGGCACAGGAAACTTAGATGTGCATCCATAAAACAAAGAGTTACTAGTCTTGCAAAATTAAGTAGTATTCCATTTTGGACCATAGTATCCAGTTGTTTATAGAAATTTACACAAAAATTAAATTTAATAATCCTTCATTCAGGCAAAAATTCCTTTAGAGTAATAATGCCTCTTTTAATTCAGTCTTTGATGTTATTAGGAGTGCATGTCAGCAATTGTGGATTTTGTGGGGGGAAGGGTGCATTTTCAAGGTTGGTCAATGGTCAAGGATCTCTGTTTTAATAGTAACTGCCCAGATGAGATGGCACATGAGTAATTAGGATGGCGAGGGACATTTGGGTTGGGGTAGATGCCAGCAGTGGGTGAGCTCCAGTACTGGGCAGTTGGTCCAAAAAAATTGGAGGAGGTGACTGGCATGGATGGAGGGTGTGGGGAAACAAAGTTGAACCTTCTGCTGATGGGCGTGGTAGGAAGGCACATACGCCAGGTCCGAGGGGTACTTATACATTGATGACTCGGTAGGGTGTGGCTGCAGGGCCTGTGCAATGCCGTGGAAATCAAACTTGTAGGCGTAGCGTTTGCCATGCACCTTGGTCATAATATTTTTGTCATAGTAGTAGCGCAGTGCACGGCTCAGCTTGTCATAGTTCATGTTGGGCTTGCTCTTACGCTCGCCCCAACGCCGCGCCACCTCATCTGGATCCGTCATCTTAAACTCGCCATTGGTTCCCTCCCAGGTGATACAGCCTGCGTTGGCGCTGTCGGACAACAGCTCCAGGAGGAATTGCCACAGCTGGATCTGACCTGAACCTAAAAATGGACACAATCACAAAAAATTATAAATGTTTGGCTGATTGAAGTATCTAACTCTTCATACCTAATGCAACATAAAGAGCTTTGAGTTAATTAATTGTTCCGCCAAGTTGCTGATTTTTGTAATTTAAATCTCTCTCTGCACCCTATTGGTCAAAAGATGCTTTGCACAATATAGTATCAGCCACTAAGTACATGATGGGAGAATTAAGTAGCAGAAGTATGAGTTAACCAGCATTCAGTGTAAAGTAGTGACCATGAAGACAATCTAACCTGGGTTGGCAAGGCGACTGCTGGTGGGGGCCCAGAATCTGGTAAGGATCTGTGAACAAATGAAGAAATCACCATGACCACAAGGGAGTCACTGGGTGCTTGTTATTTTGCTAACATTTGCAACCCCCAGGGTTTTTTGACCCTAATGGGCATCCATTGGTAAGGTCAATCACCAACACAAAAATACTGCTTGCTTGCAACGATTTAGGTGTCTACTGCCCCCTATCGCAAGGAAACATGCACACTGTCACTTTAAGTTGATTATTGATGTGAGTTAAATGGTTGAAATTTTTATTTACAAAACAGTTGCATCGTGGGGGAAGATTATCAGCAGTCATGAAAATTACTTACTGACATACTGTATAAACACACACACACACACGAGAGAGAGAGAGAGAGAGGAGAGAGAGAGAGAGAGAGAGAGAGGGAGAGAGAGAGGAGAGAGAGAGAGATGAGAGAGAGAGAGAGAGAGATGACGAGAGAGAGAGAGAGGAGAGAGGAGAGAGAGAGAGGAGAGGAGAGAGAGAGAGAGAGAGAGAGAGAGAGAGAGAGAGTTAGCAGTTACCTGGTTGAGCTCTGGGTTGCTCAGTGGATTTGGTCACATTCTGGTTTACTACTGGTGAGCCTGCTGATAAAATCAGTCATTAGTCACCAAGCAGCAGACAGAGAATAGGACATAAAAACACTCAGAGAGAACACATCATCGGAGGCGGGCACAGATAACCAAACTACACATCCTAAAGGTATGTCAGCAGAGGTCCAAACTAAATAAGGCAGCAGCTAGGCCAATGTGTTTTGTCTGTGCAATCTTTAAAAGTCTGCCCTACATGTCTAGACTTAATGTTTGTTAGACGTTCACTGCCCTATGTGGCAGATGTTAGTTTTACTCTATGTGTTAGTCATTTGGGCATTGGACTGGTGCTTCATGCTATGTGAGAAGCTTCATTTTTCCTGGTGAATTGAAAACAAAAACTTCTTTTCTCACTGGATCATTATTGGATTATTCACAATTTGCTGTATACTCAAAAAGTGACCTCACCTTTTCCACTGTGCATGTTGTTGGACCACCCTGTCCGCCGTACAGCTTCATATGAAGGATCTGACAAAAACACAAGAAGCATTCACTTAAATTTTACCAACTGAAATCATGTCGAAAGCTTAACTTTAGTTGTGGAAAACTAAAGTTTAACAGCCATGAAGCACAGTTGTTAAAAGCTTCAGGAGAAAAAAGTGTTCATTATTCCTCTGTTTCTTACACAAGATATTATGAGTTTAATTAAGAATAGTGTGAGTAGGCAAACTTGAGGGAAACTACACATTTTGGTAAAACAGTTTAAGAAAACCCTGCCTTCTTTGAAAATCTGTAGTTTAAACATACACTGAACAAAAACATGAACACAACACTTTTGATTTTGCTCCTGTTATTCATGAGATGAGCTCAAACATCTTAAAAACATTTTACACGCACAAAACACCCATGACTCAAATATTGTTCTAAAATCTGTCTACACATGTGTTGGTGAGCATTTTTCCTTTACCAAGATAATCCAACCCACCTCACAGGTGTGGCGTATCAACGGGCTGATTAAACAGCATGAATGATGCACAGGTGTGCCTTAGATTAAGTCTGT